ACACGAGTGAAAAAGGCCTTTGCTGCACTCGAGATCATTCCGCACTCGCCTGCGGCTCGTGCGTAAACATTGCTCTCGTGTGCAGCAAAGTGCCACTTTCACCACTAGTTACACAAATAACTATTGAAACATTATTTACCAACATTGACTTTCGGAATAAATGTAAACATTGCAAATAAATAAGTAACAGCTGATAGAATGCAGACGTTTTTCAGTCCCGATGCATTTCTTATGGTGGATATTTTACGTTATATCTCGTTTTCTGGTAACTTTATGGGAATTCTGCTATTTTTCCCGCGTCCCTGGGGTCAAGACCTTTAATTTAAGACCTCTCCCACTTTTCTGCGACTTACCAGACGTCTACAATTTTCTGGTAAAAATTTTGTCTTACAGAATTATATATAAGGATATTTTACATGAATTCAATAAAACATCACCAACTGGAATGATACATGTAACACCATTTTAGTATATATGTATGTAGACAAAATTGTATAATTGCCGTCTGTTTTTGATCTTGATACAAACAAACGCAAACTTGAAAAAGTTAAGATGATTGACAAAAGAATTAAATTTTAAAAGCCTATTAGACGAAGGGCTTTCATGAGATAGCCTATCATCCAAACCAGCGAAAGGCACATCTAATCTAGAGCCACTAGAGGATAAGAGCTTTAAATTAATACCGGTACTCAATCAATATGCCTATAAAAATATATATTTAGGGGTCGATTTGCTGAACAAATTATTTTAATAAATGTAGATGGCAGTTTTGAATCCATATATTTGACTGTACATTTTTGACAGAAATCGTCCGTGTTGTACCGTAATATAGAGTGACTGGTATACTTAATAGTGGTAACAACACCTTGTCCAAATGACAATTTATTTATGCTACATGGACATGGAAGTTAAATTATTTTTCAAGATCGCACTACATTGACGACTGGGCGAAGTATATTGTACGAAATAGCACAATTCAACTCGACCGGCACGAAATTGCGATACTTTGTCGGCGCGCGTGCGTTGTAATAAAGCCTGGTCTGTAATTACTATTTCTGCCGCCACTAGTCGAGAGCAGCACCTACTGGCCGCCTCGCCTAACCTAACCTCTTCATGAATAAAACACCAACAGATTACCCAAATTAGAGTCGCAAGTGTTGTTTTGAATTGTAAACGCGATTCGTTGCCGTTTGGAATGTTGATGAGTCGGAATCTTCTGAATCTATGGAATTTTATACACCTCCTTTTTCTAGTGTGCAATACCAGACTTTGTCTATGGCATAGAAGAAACACAATTCAGGTGAGGATGAGCCAGATGAGTGTTGAATGGCTAAAATGATAGTTTTATCACTAAATTAGAGATGAAGTATTTCATTGGACAGAATCATTTTGCAAACCCAAACCATATTTGTATGGCATCCCGGTCATACAGGACAATGAGAAATCTACACTTTGGTTCAGCAAATTTTCTTCTGGGTACTTATGCATCGAGACATCAACATCAAGAACTATGTTCAATGTTCTATCCTGTACCACCTGCCGTCTGAACCAAAATTTACAAAAGAAGGCAAGTGCATAAGCATGAGAGAAACGTGGCCATACAAACACGATTCGGGGATTTTTTCCCCTTTATCTCATGGGACTGTATTCTGAATAGGGTATCTCAGGAGAAAACAGGAATTTCGGTTGCAACAGAACTTTTTACTAGGTGAGTGGAAGCATTTTCCGTCCCATAATAACCTGTAAGAATTCTAAAGATTCTAAAAACCTTCAGTCTATTGTCAATAAATAAATAAATAAATAAATAAGGTCTTTATTTCCAAGCGTTCATCAAAGTACAAACTCTGTTTTTCATGACAACTTTGGTCAAATTAAGTAAATAAAACAATACAATGGTCTATTCATAAAATAAAAAATGAAATTATCTATACAGTTTAGGTAAACATTTCCTTTACACATTTCTTAAACCTATTACAGTTGTACTCTTTTAAAGTGGGTGGTCAATATGGTCATTCTCAATGTACTCCCACAGATAATGGTAGTCGGTTCACATCAAGACAATGGATGCGGATGCGGATCTTAGCTGAGTAGGCTAGAACACTGGACAATGTCAATCACCAGACAGAGAGATTCTCTCCAACAGAGCAATTTCTTGGTCGATCAATGAAGCAAACAGCTGATTCAAATTTCATCCAACAACACAACAACAACATCCACACAAGTGACACAGTTAGAGAGTGAAACATCAACCCCGCTTGTCAAAAACCAAGGAATTCCTCAAGGCAGCTGTCTAAGTTAACAATTATACAACTCAATTTCAATTTGTATACAGCAGAACTTCCTAGCCGTGTAGTGCACAACATTGTACAGTTAATTTGTATGCCTATGACTCACAACTGCACTTGTCTTATGAGCCATCCCAGATGCGTAGCATGGATGACAACAGTAGACACTGTTTGCAGGATCATGACATGCTGAATGGTGCACTAGGCTCTTGGCCTATAGGAGCCACAGTACATTCTTGAGAGGCTCTCTTTCCGGGAGGAGGTCTCTCAGCAAGGCACCAGCCATGGAAGTCTCCAGCTTCACTTTTCAAGAGTGAGGCTTGTGTTTGGAAGGTGAAGCTTCTCGTACTTTGGCCCAAAGTAAAGCTGTACAACGACTTCCCCTCTAGCCTCAAAAAATATGCCTTGCCATCTTTTAAAGTCAAAATTAATAAATTGTACACTATTTTCTTGTTTCTATTTTGTTATATTTATTTATTGTTAGTTATTATATGAAGAGGGTTGTTCTGAAAAGCAGTTGTACCATTGACTAAACACAGAATTGACTGTGTACAGTCAATGGTTGTAATGAGAAAAGCTTCATCAATAATTTTATTTTATTATATACTAGCAGAGTACCCGTCCTTCGTACGGCGGTGGCATATCAGCATAATATGCTTATTGCAGTTATACTAAAGCTTTGCATTTGAATGGGAGGGCGAGGGACACAGTTTGATAAAATTTGCTTATTTGAATTTACGGTATACTACATATTACACATCTACCATAGCCAAAATGTTCTACCACTTTCCATTAACAACAGAGAAAAAACATTATTAAAAATTCGCAAAATATCACAAATTGTTCATGAAATTAAAAAAAAACATAAACTTAACTGTAAACAATCCTACTTTGATAGTTCTCATTGCCTATCATAGTTTTTTGTTGCTGCTTAGTTCAAATTAGCTGTTTTCATAAATGCAAAAAATAATAGTGCTGCAGCCTGTTGGTAAATATTATAACTTTTTAATACTTTTTCATATTATAGAACCAACTTTTTTAGTTGAAACAGCTGACTAAATTCTTTAATTCCCTTTAAATATGAATACTCATAAGGTTAACATGGGGAACTGCAGAGCCACTGGGGCGGAGCCCGAAAGGATTTTTGAGATAAAAATATTCCTATATCGGAATCGGAAATGTGAGCTATCATCATGCTAAATTTCAGCCCAATCTGTCCAGTAGTTAATGCGTGATTGAACTTCAAACAAACACCAAACTTTCACATTTATAATATTAGTAAGATTTATTAAAGACTAGCTGGCCCGACAGACTGTCCTAATGTGGTAATGTGGTATAATGTCAAAAGCTCGTTCATTTTCAAGATGAGCTCGTTCGCATGGCTCAATCACGTCCTGGTTGAAGTTCGTTCGCTACGCTCACACACCTTTAGGTTGGAGCTCGTTCGCTGCCCTCACTTGCCTTCAGCTTAGCTCGTACACTACGCTAACTCGCCTCCAGGTTGAAGTTCGTTCGCTATGCTCACTCACCTTTTGGTTGGAAATTAGCTTTTGTCATAAATTTAAAAAAATTATAGTGCTGCACCCTGTTGGTAAACCTATTAACTTTTTAATGTATTGAGCATCACAGAATCAAATTGATCAGTTGAACCAGCTGTTAAGATTCTTTAATTCCATTTAAATATCTATATAATTAATACGCTACATGAAACTTTGTCGGTTGAACTCCTCCGCCATTTCTTAACCGATTTTATCCATTGACGTCTCATTGGAAAGAGCGTGTCGCGTAGATTTGCAAACTGACCTTACATTTTTGAAAAAGTCCCTTGGGCTCTGCCCCAGTGGCTGTTAAAGTTCCCATGTTATCCTTATGAAGAACATGATTGTTTACATTTTGATCAGCTGTATATTTTAATTGCTGTTATTTTTCATTTCAAAGTCTTTTAAACTCATCGGAAATTATGATGAGTTTAATTTGTTTTTAAATAACTACTTTACTTCTTTGCAATTGCTCGATTTCGAGCAACGTGTTTACTAGTGAGTACTTATAAGGTTAACATGGGAAACTCCAGAGCCACTGGGGCGGAGCCCTTTTGACGGATCTGCACCATACTTCACACAAACCATCCTTGAATAATGCTTAATAAAACCTGAGTCCATAAAGGACAAACAAACAAACATACATTGGATTTTATATATATAGATTATCTGATATACTTAATCTCATTGAGTAAATAATACATTTAAACAACCCCTTTAATTCTTAATCAGTGACAACACACACTTGTACAAGAAGCTAATTACTTAAAATCCTTTACAATATTGATAGAACCAGACATTCCATCCCCATATTAGAGTTATCATCAGTTTTTTTTACTTGAGTGAATTTAGTTGAGCTGATATAAATCACTGATGTTTTTAATCAACAGCTTTTTCATTGGTATTACTTCCGAAATTCTAAAATAGGACGGAAATATATAGTCAGTGCACACAAACAGAACTGGACATGAAACGTCTGGATGTTTAAGTTTCATGAAGTCTTCAGATTTACAGCAGGATGAGAAATATACTTACAGTAACCAATTACTGCCTTTACATCCAGAACTGTGTACCGTTGTTTGAAAATAACTCTATGAGGATGTTTTTTACAAAGCATTGTACCATTACTAAATAGATTAGATTACCAAATTTAGGATTCAGAAGCAGAAACAACTACTGTATGTGAACAAAAGTTTATTCAGTTTATATAAAAAAGAGTATAAATTAAAATTACAAGTACACATGTATTGGATGATTCCTTGTGATATGTTTACACAAAATATCATTCGCATCTTCTACAATCAAATAACATTAATAATAAATTATTAACTTGAAACACATTAATCATCATATTTGAAAGGGCAAGGGTTGGTACAAAAGTGGAAAAACGAATAAAATTAGAGACTTTGTAAAGAAAAAAACATTTTCCCTAGAATTTTTGAATTTTAGAATTCGTAAAGATCCTAAATAGTGAAAATTTTTTTTTCATTCATTTGTGGAATATTAAAAACATAGTACAGTACTGTAGTCTACTGTAATTATTTTTTTAATGAAAATTCAGTTTTAAAAACATCTGTCCAGTAGTGACGACGTTTTGCTATTCCAGTTAAAGTTCACAACAAAAAATGGAATGTAAAAAATGATAGTAAACTAATCAAAAAATAAAAACATTTTCAGCACTCTGTCTCCAGAGAAATTCTAGCAATTTTGTATGATCTGTCATGATTTTATTTAGCTGTAGCTGATTAAAGGAAGAGTATATTTTATTATTAGTGCTGAAAGTGGCATTTCCCGATCCGTGCTCAAACTTTATCCGTTTGAGGTATGGTAAGGCCGAACACAAAATTTCCCTTTGAGATGACGCCAATCATGTTTATTATTTTTACATACAAGGCAAAGCCGAGGATGGGAATAATTGTAGCAAGTACGCAGGGACGCTTTATTAAATGTGCCGGGCCCACCGCTGCAAGAGGTTTTGGGTGTGTTTGAGGGGCGCAAAGTGAATAAATCCATGGTAATGAAGAGAGATAGGTGGTGGAAATAGCCTGTCACATTAAATCTGCGGACCTGCAAATGCCAGAAAATCACTTTCGGTACAAATTTGCAGCGATATTTTTCATCACGATGCAAACATAAAATACTCTAGTACAACAGAGCTTGCTAAAATCAAACCTATTTTTCTAAGGATTTTGATAATTTATAATTTTTAAATAATCATACAGTAGAACCGCCATTAACCAAAAAAAATATAAAGCTAATATACATAATACGCAATGTAAAATGCTTTAGCAACTTCAGTTGTTTGTTTAAAGTATTTTCTAACCCGTTCTAACACTTCTGTATCTAAAACACTGTATTATATAGATATTGTTTTAAATTCATTTTTCTACACACTGTGGTAATACATAGGCTATTTTTTAGCATATTACGGGTTGACCGAAAAATTGGTTATCTGAAACGGCTTTCCCCCTTTATTTGTGTTAACCGGGGTTCTACTGTAATTATTTTAAGAAGTTGCTATCTTAATAATAATAAAACAAATGGCTTAAAGCAAACATTTGTAACAACATAAAAACGAGAATTTCAAGGTTTTTTTGTAGCAAACACAAACTCTGTCCAAGCTTGGGAAACAAATACATACAGAACACATACATACAGCTGATTAATTTTGATATCAGCTGTTGTCAACAATAGCTACTTTCTGAATGATGAAAATTGTTTCCCAAGCTCTAATTTAGAGCAAGAGAAAGACGTTAAGATAATTTCCCTTGCTCTAAATTTATTTTCCTTTGCCCTCAATCAGTTTAGCGCAACCATTTTTTAATGTTTAAATCAACTGTTTCTACTGTTAAGCAATCTAAATGTTAACAGAAAATAGTATATTTCATTACTAGGACCGAAAGCGGCATTTTCCGACGCGCGCTCAAGTTTCATGTGTGAGGCAAAGCCGAGGACGGGAATAATGGAGCAAGTGTCGGAAAAAAGCTTTTGGTACGAGTTATGAACGATACTTTTCATCACGAAGCAAAAATGCACACATTCAGAATATCATATTTCAGTAGGATTAAAATAGTTTTAGACTACTCTTTATCATTGAAAATCACAACTTACATAATATGGTTTCATAATTGTAGAGTATTTAGATAAATAATGTATTAATAAATACTTCGTCATGTTCATTAACTTAACATTTTGTAATATGTACCAGTGTCTAAGCTTTCTGTATTCCTCTTCTTATCCTTCCCATGATTTATCTGGTTAAATGTGATAAGTTAAGCTGTTTTCATAAAATCTTCAGTATTGTTAGGCATACTTTGAGCAATTCCAAACATGCATTATGTTAAAAACACAGCAAAACAAACTAATGCCTGTTTCTGTATAGATTTAGATTAAGCAACAATAAAAACAGCTGTTCCAAATCATTAAATTAAACTGTAACAAAACACTAGCGCACGTAGTGAATAAATGAAGAACTAATTGAGAGCGAGGGAAAGTAAATTTAGAGCGAGGGAAAATAAGCTGATCGATTTTCCCTCGCCCTAAATTAGAGCTTGGGAAACGGCTACTTTCATTGATGTCAGCTGTTATCGAAAATAGTTACTTTCGTTACGGAGTGATGAAAATAAAATTTGTGTTGTGATGAAAACCATAACTCATAATTTGTAGTAAAAGTGATTTCAGAGCACTTGGATGCCCCATAAAAGAAGCAAATAAAAACCACTAATTCTTAAACTTCTGTTTTGTTTCAGAACAATCTCACTAAAATTTCATTTGGCATTAGTATTATAAATACAAATAGTTGTGCATTTGAATTGTATTATTTACATTGTTCACCATCCCATTTATTTTAGGTTATATCATTTTGTTTTGTTAACAATGAATTTACAACATTGGTTTGACACATGCAAAGAAGAAAATTTGAAAATGGAAAAGAAAAATTGTTAGTCAGTATTTTTTACTCACCAATAAAATGAAGCTAAATGCATGTCATGAATATAAGCGCCTTTACGTAAAATTGGTATAATGTAGCTCTAGTATACAAACACACTTTAAAATTAAGCTATGATTTTTATACTTATTTGGATGAGTTTTGCAAGTCTTAACTTTAAAAAATTTAAACAGCCTATAAAAATCAGAATTTGACCAATTTTTAAAAATGCACATTTAGTTTTATCAGAATAAAATTCATACATTTGATCATGATACAAGAATCACAAATTTAAAATCACTATCCATAATAAAGCACTAGGCTATACATATTTTACAATGTACAAATACATACTTAAGCTTAAAGCAAGTAAATAATTTAACAAATAACATAAAAAATAAAATGTAATATTTCATAAATGACAAAACTTAAAAAAATGAATCAATATATACATGTGCTAAATTTATATTACAACACAGCAATTGCCGATTAAAAGTATTTTGTACAAATAATTTAGATCTATCTTACCTTATAACTAATATGTCTGTATTGTACATCTCAATTACACATACGACAATGAGAATTACATGCATCATTTTTAGCAAATAATACGACAAATATATACGTGATGTTTGTTACTATCCATCCAGAACATGTACAAAATTTAAGTTCGTATTCATGATTTACTTAATGGAACACAATCGTAGACTAACCCGTGAAAATCATCTTGTTGCTAAAGGATAACAATTGAATAATGCTACTTAAATTTGTAAACTGAGTTCAAATAACCAAAGGTCTCAATGAAAAAAAATCATTATTCTTACTGAACATGGAATATCGATGATAGCGTCTTTAGCTGATAAGACTAAAATTGCTGGTTCAAGATTGGCCAAGCCATTGACTTGCTATTGTAGTTTACAGTGTAGCATTACTTTACTATCTTTTGATCATCACAGACCACACGGTCTAAGTTAACAAGCAGTTGAGATTAAATTTGATGCAATAATTAAGTATAAAAAGGTAAGGGAAAATAGATATAGTACATTAAATTTGGATGGTAAAAGTGCTGTTTTATCGTATGCAAGAGTAGAAATATCAGGACTGTAACACCACCCAATGGTTCTACTGTCTTGGATTCTCGTCAGAGAATTTGCGTTAAACTGTTCCAGCACCTGGGTTGTTCTACACAGAACGTATGCTTGATTGTTCCATAATCTCGGTTGTTCCTCACACAGAATGTGTACTGCCTGTGCCTGACTGTCTTCCAGAACACGGCAGACGACATAACTGGGACATGATGATCTTGTGAATACTCATCCCCCGTCCACTGCCCGACTAAAAATTGACAAAACATGACACATTAGTAGAGAAGTTGACATAATATTGCTATGGGATTGATACATAAAGTGGCTGAGATGTCAAGCTCTTTGACTAAAAGTAGAAATACAGGGTGTTTATAAATGATTCATCAGGTTATCATGTCATGTATCTCACTTATTTCTTATCTTACATTAATGATTTTGACGTGTGATTAAAGAGCATGTTTAAAATTTTTATAATCAGCTGTTTAGTATTCATCCTTGCTATTTTCTTGGATATGTTTACATTGTATTCAAAAATATTACAATTCAAGAAAACCTTTTGTGTATAATTATTACTCAAGTGTAACTTTGATACATGTTAAACGTGAGTTTTTCTGACGTTTTAGGAAAAATCTGCCAACGTGCCAACACACCAAAATCAGCTGACGGTAGTATCATCAATTAATTTAAAACTCTTAGGGACTGTTGAAACGTAAAAGTTGTGGTCGCCCAATTCTTGACACAGTAGCTAGGGTTAGACAGTGCTTTAAGCAAAGGCCTCCACATGGTGCAGGCTGCACACTTGGCTTACCAGTAGCAAAATCTACAGTTTGCAAGGCTTTACTTAAATAATTGACATTAAGACCCTACAGACTGCAACTAGGATACTTCAAAAGTCAAATCAAGAGTAGATTCAATCAGCTAGCCGGTGTATGGACCAACTTACAACATCCATTAGAAACTTGTTACATTGCAAATGGACAGCACATCGAGCAATTATAGCTGTATCTAAGAAAAACTTGAGAAATTCCCTTTGTAATGATAGTAGTTTTCATGGAGTGTTTGTTCAGTATTAAGTTCAATAAAAGTTCTAAAACCTTAAAGTTAAAAAGATTGTATTCTTGGATGCTGTTTTGTTTTAAGTTATCGTAACACAATCGGCAGATATCGGGAGCGTTTAGACGTTGGAAGCGATTATTCAGACGTCGGTAGCAATTGTTCAGATGTTGGCAGCAATCGTTCAGACATTAATAGAGATGGGCAGAAGTCAGTTGAATTCTTTACTTAGCGATAATCCTGCTATTCTTGCAATAACGGTGCTTTTCAGATAACGTTCAATAATCCGGCAACACCGAAGGCCTGAATGTGCTGGATCAGCAAGTGTCCACTGTATAGAGATAGAGAGTTGACAACTACTCAAAATTAACATAATATAAGGTTTTGAGGTAGTTTTTACCGAATCATCCCATCTTTATGTTTAAGGTCAACAGGGAAATACACAGCTAAATTTAGGATTTTGTTCACTGTTGTCAAAATACTCGGCTCATTTACCTTTTACGATTATCAAGGATGGAATCATCTGTGCTCTATTATACCTTACCAAACTAGATTTGATCTGACGGTAAAGGAATAGACAATTATTTTTACAATCTAGGTTTGTACCTGAAGTTGTTCAATAGTAGTCTCGTCATTTGCCAAAGCTTCCAGCTGATCGTAGAGGATGGCCATGACGAACATACCAAACAGTGCTGACTCCAGCACCAGGATGACACAGTGTAGTCTGTTTGTGAACAAATAAACATCAAACCATGAAGAAATGTCCACTTTCAACGTTTTAAATCACTTTTTATTATTTTTTTTCAATAGTTAACAATTTTAATGTGGATTCCGCTGGAGCGCACAAAATTACAAGATCTTCCAGACGATCCCACCAGTTCTCTAACAATCGCTCATCTAATAAGACATCTCTCAACTGGAAACAACGTTCAAATAACAAAAGACCTGACTTCAATGCCCTCGGAATAGAAGGCCTCTGTCTTAGATGTGGAAGTAGCAAACAAATTGCTGCAAATTGTAACAAACACAAGTATAAACTCCAATGTGGGGAGTGTTTAAAACGAGGACATGTCTCTGCGGTCTGCATAACTACACTGATGTCAAGTACTAAGAAATCAACATCAATGTTAAATTCGACCAACAACCTAAATTCAGGATCAAATGATGACGATTATTCAAGTGACGACTCTTCTGATTACTGAGTGCACAAAATTGATTCGATCTACCAGAACTTTGATGTCGTAGGTTTATTTGAAGTTGGACTTGATTCAGACAAGTACATTGTTTCTGTCAGTATAAATGGAAGATCACAATGTTTTGAAGTTGACAGTGGGGCTAAATTTTCTCTCCTTGCGAAGAATGACTTTGAACATCTACATCTGAACGTACCTGTAGAACCATCAAGGCTAGCTTTCCGTTCATACTCTGGAGACATAATCAAACCAGAGGGAAAGGTATCAGTTTCTGTATCATACAAGGGTAAACAGTTCAAAGGTGACCTTCACATTGTCCCTTCAGGTCATGACGCACTTCTAGGACGCCAATGGATCCGAGGACTGGGTATTGAGCTGTGTGAAATTGACGCTGAAATGAACCGACCAGCTACTACCCTTCAATTACAACCAGTAAATTCAGTTGAAGAGCTGTTTGAAAAATTTGCGCCAATTTTCGAGCCAAAAATTGGATGCGTTCCAAACTTTACAGTATCATTACATCTTCGATCAGGAGCAAAGCCTATTTTCAATCGTGAACGGAACGTTCCTCATGCTCTTATTGATCAGGTCAACAAGGAACTAGATTCACTTGAAAATGAAGGAATCATTTCACCTGTTACGTCAAGTGATTGGGGGTCACCACTAGTCGTGATACCTAAGGCAGATGGAAGTGTTCGTCTCTGTGTTGACTACAAATGTGGTGTGAATGAACGAATAGTCCAGGCAAACCATCCTATTCGAAAAATTGACAATGTACTCGATAGTTTGAGAGGATCTCGTTACTTTTGTAAACTTGACCTGTACAAAGCTTATCTGCACCTCAAGGTCGACGAAGAGTCCAGTATTATCCAGACAATATCAACACACCGTGGAACATATCATGTCAATCGTCTACGCTTCGGAATAAAGACAGCACCTTCTGAATTCAACCGAATTCTTAAACAAATTTTGAAGGGATTGTCTAAATCTGAGGCCTACTTTGATGACATAATTTGCCATGGTTCAACAATGGATGAGTGCAAAAGAAATCTACAGGCCTGTCTTCAACGACTCTCAGATTTTAACAAGAACAAATAGAATATCTAGGACGAGTGGTGGAGTTAAACAAAATAAAGAAATCTCCTACCAAAGTTCAAGCTATTAAAGAAATGTCACGTCCATCAGAAGTTGAAGAATTACGACGATTCTTAGGAATGGTTTCTTACTACTCTCGTTTCTTTCCAGATGCTTCAACTGTCACTTCTCCTTTACGACGTTGGTTACGTAAAAATAAGAAATTGGAATGGACACCAGAATGTGATAAGGCTTTTCAACGAATCAAAACTGAGCTGTGCAGTAACAGGATACTCTTACCTATCGATCCAAAACTACCATTAGTTCTCACCACGGACGCTTCACCTACTGGACTAGCTGCAGTTCTTAGCCACTTAATTGATGGAACGGAAAGACCAATTGCTTACACCTCACGTTCACTCACTGATGCCGAATGTAACTATAGTCAACTAGACCGGGAAGCATTGGCCATAGTTTTTGGTGTCTCCCACTTCTATTATTACTTATTCGGGACTCAATTTCAACTTGTAACAGATAATCAGCCCATATCTAGGATCTTTAGACATGACAAGGCTCTACCACAAATGACTTCAGCTCGTTTACTCAGATATGCATCATATCTGTCAGGTTTCAATTACAAGTTGGTGTTCAAAAAGGGCATGGAAAATAAAAACGTGGATTGTCTTTCAAGAGCTCCTCTTACACAGACTCACTCTACTAAAGACAAGAAAATCGGAAAAGAGGTACACCAAATCTGCAGCCAAGTTATTTTTCAAATTTCAAACCATGAAATCACAGCTGAAATCATTAAGAACGAGACAGCCAAAGATCCAGTGCTCTCTAAAATTTTGAAAGACCTACTCACCAATTCAACTGATTCTGATTTTACTTTGGTCGAAAACATTATTTTCCGGGGAGAAAGAGTTTACATTCCATCACTACTTAGAAACAAGATTCTAAATTAACTTCACGAAAGTCATCTTTGAATCACAAAAATGAAACAGCTAGCAAGGCGCTATGTTTACTGGCCAAATATTGACAAGGACATTGAGCATCTTGTGAAAGGAGTGAAAATTGTGCGCTAACACGGTAAAATCCGCCCAAAGCTCCCAATCACCCGTGGGAAATCCCAAAAGAGAACTGCGAAAGAATACACATTGACTACGCAGGACCGTTTCAAGGCTTCAACTTCCTCGTGTGTATTGATGCTAGATCAAAATGGGCGGAGATAAAAGTAATCAAAGATGCACCATCCAGCTCCAATACCATACATCTACTTGAACAAATTTTTGCTACACACGGCTACCCGAATGTTATGGTATCTGACAATGCCTCAATTTTTCAAAGTGATACATTCCAAGCTTATTGCAAATTGCATGGCGTTTTCCAGAAATTCATATCTCCAGGACACCCAGCAACAAACGGCTTAGCAGAACGCTCTGTTCAAACATTGAAGAACCGCCTGAAGTCCACAGCTTCGGAAAACATACCAATGGCAATAAAGGTCCAGAAGATCTTAATGCGGTACTGGGCAACTCCTCTAGCATGTGGCAAATCACCCGCTGAACTTTACCTCCGCAGGAAGTTAAGAATACAAATGGATGCTATTTTTCCTAACGTACAAAAACCTTCAACTAGAAATGCTCCTTCTGCACGTTCATTCAATGAGGGGGAGAGAGTTCAGGTTCGTCTCTTCATGAACAACAAGAACGTTTGGGAGTTTGGAGAGGTTTCATGTGACGTTGTGAGGTTGTGTGGTTTTGGATGACGTTTTCATGCTTCAAAAAAGTTGTTAACATAACAGTTTGATGTTTTATGAAGCACTATTATTGTACATTTATTATTATCATTATTACATCTTTTCCATAGCAATGCCACCTATTGTAAGATCTATTGTATCTATTGTAAGATGGATGTAAATGCAAGAGGAATATGGAATGGAGTGAGAGGATCTATGGCAAGTGATAAAAAATACAACAAATTTAGGAATGATCAACTTACAATCTTTTGATGTTTTTAAGCACAGAATTAAGATCCAACCCAGAATTCTTACTAGGCCGTAATAAAAACATCAAAAACCCTTTACATGTATTAGGTACCTACTGTCTAAACCGTTGCATCCAGCAATACCTTTATGCATAAGTTAAAAATGCCCCTAAAAGATAAAAATGTTTGGTTGTAAGTACAGTAGTTTAATGACAAAAGTTGTGTGGAAACATTGATATTTATCAGAGAAACGCTGGCTAATAAAGAAATTTTATTAATTATTTATTTAAACCAGAATCTAAAGGTGCCTATCTCGCTGGATGGTAGGATATGATGTCAGAGCAAAAAGAGAGGAAAATGACGTTGATATCAGCTGATAATATAAGTGTCATTTACCGGTTACATGAACAAAATCAGAGTGGCAACAGTGCTTCTGTATTCTGATTTAGACACCAGCAGATTCAAAGACAATATTTCTACTAGCTCGGTGAGACTTCTTGATAGGTCTCTATTCTGTGCTGAAAGTTAGTTTATAATATTGCAGGGACACATATTGACATATAATATTGACAACAAAAAGTTGCATTATACAACATTTCATTTTGCAAATATTTCTTAAGTTCTTTTTACAAATACAGTACACAAGATGATTCGACTTACATTCTTGCCTGCTTCAGGTTGACTTCCGTAGGACATTGCGGACACGCCCTAAGCCAGCTTGTGACAACCAGAGCGATCGCGTACAGGGCGAGTAGTCCAACATAGACTAGAAACTGGATAAAGTACTTTTGGTTGCGCTCCCCCACACAGTTATTGATCCTGTCAACACAGACTAGTCAATCCCAAGCCAGTATTAGGGCAACATAAATGGTAACAGAATATTGACCATGTGACATCACGTTTTTGTTATGTTATGGGCTACAGATCAAGGATTCTGTGTTGAAATAAGCATCTGACAATCAATGGCCAAGTGAATCCAGGATATTTACCAGGGACAATGGTGATCCATGCGGCGGATGCATCGTTTGCAGATCCGACAATGGTGAGCCCGCGGAGGACGGTATGTCTCACACCTCGTACACACAGTCCAGTCCTCATTTTGTAGCAAAGACTCGGAACCTACACAAAATAAAAAATAATCCAAAACCAAGTCAACACAACATAAAATTGTGAAAAGTCCATAGCACACAATCACTGAACCAAAACCAGCACAAAACGTTATTCAATCATTGAGTCATTGTATCATAGAAAATGTACTTAGGCCCAAATTATGAAACTTGTTTTAGCCTATAGATTGTACAAAAAGGTTAGTTATTAAAAAGTAGCTGTAAGCCAGGTTTTTTTTATTTTAGAAATAAGTTACTACCGGTAGCTGTTGGCCCGTCTTACGTACGGGAATCAAGTACCCTCAAGTCGATTAAAACTGAATATAATTCAGAACTGCTAGTTTACACGCATAAAGAAAAATTCTGGCAGTTTTAATAGGGAAAATCATCCTGTAAACTAATAGGCCTACCACGTGACCATCTATTTCTTTCATGCGATTATAAGATTAAGTTAGGTATGGTAGCCTAGTAATTATGAAAACAAAACAATAGCCTGCTAATTTAAAAACACTTTCAAACATGCGTTTTAACAAAAATGTTTCCAAAACAAACCTTGTTTATGATGGCAAGTAGTAGGACAATGTTTTAGAACTTGTCATTCTAAAGGGAACATTTTTTGGAGTTTTCGACTATTTTAAATTAAGGTTTTCCAAAAAAACTAAGTTACTGATGTTATGCTGATTTCCATTGTTCCTAAGTTCAATTATATGTACCAGTTACATATTTACAGATGAGCTATAAATTCCAAACCTTGACTCAACATACAGTATCAATTTCACACGTTTACTAGGGCTTAACTGATTACTATGTAAATCAAGCAATGTGTACACATTTAATTTCAGTAGACCCTGGCCAAATTATTAAAACACAAACCTGAATGTATGTCAGAGAAGTCCATCCTGTTCTGTGGCAAAGGCACGGCTCCAGGGTCAGAACACATGGCTCTAAGGTGAGACAGCGACAGCATAAATATGACTGTGTTGAATAGCACCACGTGGAACGGGGCCCACAAGCTGCAAAAAACGAAGTTTTCATTTTATAATATTTGTACTGTCTATTTGAAATAATAAAAATATAATAATAATAAAATTATTATTCTAGGGCCCCTATTAAGGCACAGTTCTCAAATTGGCTATTGGCTGCAAACAAGGCATCACTTTCAACTGTGCAGTACGGTAAGCTTAGTCAACACATCAAAAACACACATGAAATTTGATTTTACTTCATTTAAATGGGGACTTCAACATTTTGCTTTAAGACTTAAGCAGAGTAACAAAAATTGGAGAAAATCAACTTAAGATTGAAATAAACGACGTTTCTCTCAATACAAGAACTACTTAAATGAAATATGTTATCATTATCGTTAAAAATATAGGTAGCTGTCCCACAATAATCTGATACTTTGTAATCCAATGTACTATGTAGGCCGATGCGCTGCTGGCAGTCTTATCGGCAGAAACAAAACGAGTCTGCCCCATCCCTGCACTGTTCTGTATGTAAGTACGGTAGGCCTACTATCATTGTGTAGCAACAGAGAAGTAAGGTAAGTTAAAGAGGAAACACACTTATGGGAAAACCGTACGCTTTAGGCTCAAAGTAACTATGTCATGTTGGGAGTACAATTGTGACGAGCAAGGAAGAGCCCGAATGGTGCATTGTGTGGTAATCCCTATCGTACAGGGCACAGGGTCTTCCTCTACCGTGAGTGATGTAGTAGGCCAACATAAGGACTTTGCACTAAGTGCTAGACACCACTTATAAATGTGTACGATGGACGTTTCTTCTGTTCCTTACTTCCCCCTGTGATGTAGCCTAGTTTTAACAAATTGCATGTAGCCTACTGTTCCATAGTCTTTGTTTACTTCAATTTTCTTTATGCTGTCAAAAATGTTTTAAGCTAAATATGTGAATGCAAGGACATAGAATGGAGTTTGTACCTATAGCTTTGTTTCTGACTACGATCAGCTATTTTTCATTAGGGTGATTTATTAGCAGGTAGGCTAATGATCAGCGACAGCTGGATTCAGTTTCAAATTGTCAAAAAGAGTAACTTGCTGTTAAAGCCAGATTACTGACTGATTATCAGCCGAGCAAGACAACTCAGTGGTTATAACATAGTGAATGGATAGTGAGATAGCAGTTGGATATATTTATTTATTTATTTCACCGGACACCAATTAGGCTACTAAACAATATATAGGCTATAGGGCGGCCACTTAGAAAGCAACCTCCTCTTACATGTGCAACAAATCGTCACGCAGGTCACTATCTGTCCAGCCCACCTATAGTTCATGAATCGCTGAGTACAGACTCAGCCAATTTAAATATCAAGGGACAGTACCTAAGTTATACATGTAACTTGGTGGGACCCTGACATACAGCAAGGCCCCACTAGAAAATCAGATAATGAGTTTGGTTTATAAGCCTATAAAAAGTCCTAATCTGATCCCTTGACTAGCCAACCTACAAGTGTGTAGACCTGCCATACAAAAGCAAAATCTTTGTAGGCCTAGGCCTAATAGCCTAATGTTTTCGTTTTTAACTTCTTCTTGCCATTTAAAATACTTGAAACATATGAAGTCGTACCTGTCTTGCATGGTTTGCATGATGACCCATCGTATGACTACATAATCTGCATAAAATACTGCAATGTAGGTAAGAGTAATACAAATGAAACCACAAGGATCCTTAACAAATATTGACATTTTCAATATTTGTTGGAGTCCAGGATTCACTTTAACTCCATGACTGTATCTTACAAATAATCGCACACACAAATATATCCTGCAAAGTTAAACTTTCCAATTTTAAATAGTAACTCTGACTTCATGATGTTGCTGTTGTTAGTGTTTTCGATTAGTTAGCATCAGTTAGTTACTTAGTTATGGTATAATGCAACTTGCGAGCATAACTAACTGGTTGACAGAAGCAGAAAGAACTCGAAACAGCTGTTAAATTTCATGTTGACCAACATCCAACATAAAAACGAAAATTTTTATAACTTCTGGATTGGATTAAAATATTATTGTGATCGCTTGGAGTCTCATAGTAGTCGAGTAAATCCGTACGAGAACCCTAAAAAAATTGCTTTAAATTGTTTTATTGGTTATTTTGACTTAAAATTATGTGTATTTTCCAGGAAAAAAAGTCTAATAAAATCGGAGTCTCGGAAGTCCAAAATTCAAGATGGCGTCCAAGATGTTGGTCAAATGTGTCCGTTAGCACAATAACTCAAGCAAAAATTATCTGAATTCGATGAAATTTGGTACTTAAACATGTAAACCTACATTTATTTGAACGACTTCGCGAACCAGCATGATCGGACCATGGGAACGGGGGATTATGGGGGGTTTTACGGGGTAAAAATGGGTTTTCCCCATTTTTGACCCTAAAAACGTAAAATTTTGCAATTTATTTTGAAACCATTTTAGGGCTCAGAAAAAAATTAGTACATTGAAGCGTTGTCATGGGTCTAATACATAGTTACGGAGAAAATTAAAAAAAAAATTAAATTTCAAACTCCTATGTTTTTCTTACGGAGAATAAGAAAACTTGTTGTAGTTAGCCTGTATATGAATATATTTTTATCAAATTTGGAAAATGCATTTGTTTTATACTAAACTATTTAACATTTTACTAAAAACACTTTTTTACCCTCTCTGTCGCAGCAAACTGAAGTACTAGTTAAACTAGTGCTATTTAAATAGGGAATAAATGTGATATTTTTAATATGATATTTTTAATGTGATATTTTAGTGTAAATTCAATCAGGCAAATTGAAATTCGCTTAGGGTGCAGGTTTGCTGCGGTGGGGGTGTTTTAATTTATGACTATTTTTTTCTTGAAAAATCCAATAATAGGTCTTAAAATAAAGATCACAAGCTAGCTAAAATTCAACATACATATGTTATTTACTTAAATAAATATCTATACATTTTTTGCCCGAAAGGATTTTTTAGATAAGAATAGGCTTGTATTAATCGGGAATCTGAGCGATCATAAAGCCACATTTCAGCCCAATCCGACCAGTAGTTAATGCGTGATTGAACTTCAAACAAACAAACTGTCACATTTATAATATTAGTAATAGTATAATATAGTCACACTTTCTTGTGGTTAGTAGTAGAGCATTATACAAATAATAATTCATAATTTTCATCAAGTTGTACACTGTTATGATCACTTTACGAACTGGCACATTGTTCTCCAAGCTGGTAAAGTCCACAAGCTGTAGTACAAGGTAACCCATACTTTGTTGCAGGAGCATTGCAAATTCTTGCAGCCAGTAGAGTAGTTGCAGTGAGCAAATCTTAAAAATCTCTGGAGCGGCACTTTGGGTCATCGAGTTGTTTTTATTGTTTATTTTTTTCCAGCAGAGCATCTCGACATTTTTTTACATTAATTGAAAAACTCTTCAAATGAATAATAGTTTTTTTTTTTTAGCAGTTGATTCACTAGATGTATGAAATAATTTTGGTTTATTTTACTTTTTAATTTGGTAGGAAAATTATTCAAAAATTTTGATCCCATGAAGGTTTCCTTTTTTTAGTTTTTTCATAGAAGCTAAGATTGATAAATTTATATAAATTTTATTTCTAGTTCATATGGATGGACATTTTTCCTAATTTCCAAATTTTGTTTTAAAATTCAGGGACAAATTCATAGATATATTTCTGACTTACTACCGTGAAATGGGGCAGTTGCCTTCATAATAATTAGTAATAATTTTAACCTTTACATACATTTGGTTCTCGAAATGGAAACTATAACAGAATTCGTAAGATTACAAAACAAATCTTCAATTTTAAACTAGAAAAGATGTGCAATGTTTGGCAGTATGATTGCAGCTCTGATTCGTCGTTCTCCGGGCTCAGGCCAAACCGTGTGCACGTTTCCATTTGTTATGTTGTGTTATTGATTTAATCATTATTTTACAATTGAATTTCATTGACCCATCAGAAGCAACTAATATACGACTCCAACGGAAGGAAAAGCAAGATATAAAAAAAGAAACACTGTTAATTTTAAGTAACATAAAATTGATAATTTTAAAAACATATTTCGAATATTTGTCTTATGGCTTTTTATTGTAGTCTAAATTAGGGGCTATGGCTCCTACAGGCCACTAGTTGTAGTACATATTTATTGATCAGACAGTCAAAATTTGTAGTTTTGAAAATTGATCTTTTACAGTTATCGTTTGTCTAAGTATAGCATGATTCTTATAGCATTTTTAGTTTCAGAACTGTATCTAAATTTTTTGGGCGTTCCTCCATAGATTGCCAGACCATAAGACAAAATATTTTTATTTTAGAATGTCCAGGTTACATTAGTGACACTGGCCTAAAAACATATAACCCTGAAGAAAGTTTTTGTATTATGATTTGTGTATATTTAAGATTTGTGTCTAGGTTAAGCAAAAAAATTGAGTATGCTTAAGATCTCCTATTTTTACGGGGTAAAAATGGGATTTTCTTCATGCGTAGGCTTTCGCGGCCGTTGTCATTGAAATCCATGGTGATGGTTTTCGGCGTAAACCGCGTCGTCAGTTGTATATCACTGCCAGACGTTTCGCCCTTACTATGAAGTGGCATCCTCAGTGGCTAGCCTAGTCTCAGCCTAGCCACTGAGGATGCCACTTCATAGTAAGGGCGAAACGTCTGGCAGTGATATACAACTGACGACGCGGTTTACGCCGAAAACCATCACCATGGATTTCAAAAATGGGATTTTCCCATTTTTCACTGTAAAAAGTTGCAATTTACTTCCAAACCATTTTGAAGAGATCATAAAAAAAATAATTTAGTATACAGACGCGTTGTTGTGTGCCTAACGGTTACGGAGAAAATAAAAAAGTGTACATTTAAAATGACCATGTTATTCTTATGAAGAATAAATAAAGTGTTAAAGCTTGCTTGTCAATGGAAGTATTTTAGTGAAATTTGGAAATTTTGTCCATATTGAAAAAAACCCGATTTACGAGACTCCGATTTTATTAGACTTTTTGTATATTATTTCACATACCTATTGGAAATGTAAACCTTCAAAAAATCTTTTAAAGCAATTTTTTAAGGTTAAGGGGTTTTATTTCATATCTTGGCTAGACTAAATTTGATCTAAATAACTGTAAACATGAACAATAATATGATTGGAAACATATGAAGTAAAAAAAAAAAAAAACATCTAATTAACAGCAGTATTGCCAAAATAAACCTGTAAACATTATACATGTAATTATTTTTGTAATTAACTATTTGTGTTTTATTACTAAACTACAATTGAATGAGCGGAAGCGAATCCTGTGGAGTTTAAAAACAGCTGATTAACAACAGTATTACCAAAATATACCTGTTAACTTTATACATATATTTTTTTTATAAACTACTTGTGAACTATTACAAAATAAAAGAATTAAATGAGCGTAAAAAAAGTATTGAAACAAATTCTATTACTTGACTCGACACAGAATTCGCTTATGACAAATATGTGTGTGTTTGTATCTGTGGAGACGATACAGGCCACGATGAATTGTTATCCAAGCGTACCAATTAACAATTAAGATATGGTAATTTTCAGAGTACCCATAAGAATTACATTGTTTTTTTATAACTATCCCACCACCACTTAAGATAATTTAATGATTAAAAATACTAAATTGCATATATTTTTTAAGGATTTACAACATGGGTATAGCACAGACTAGGGATAAAAAGTTTTGTTCCCTATAGTGACTAATATTGAAATAAGTTATTTACTACTAACAACTTAAGACAGATTTTTACCTATTTTCAACCCCATACAACACGTTTACTGTATATTATTTATCTTAAATCATGAATAGTTTATAGATAATACAGTTTCAAAGGTTTGTACCAAATTCGGTCTAAATTGGAGGTTCAGAAGAAAATTTACAGGGAAAATAGTAAGGTTTATTATTTTTTCAAATTTTTGGACGCCATATTGGAAAAACCCAATTTCCGAGACTCCGATTTTATTAGACTTTTAGTATGTAATTTAACATACTTTTTGGAAATGAAAACCATCAAAAAACCTTTTAGAGCAATTTTTTTTAAGGTTAAGGGGTTTTTTTCATATCTTGACTAGACTATAGTGCATAATCCTACAGTTCCTAATTGAATTTGTTCCATAGTACCTGATAAAATGTGGTGTCATTACCACATCATGCATAACTGATATGCACTATGGGATATGGGACAATCCCACAGTAGACACTATGTCACAGTAAGTTACCTAGTTTTGATTTTATTTCATAGTGTGTAGATCGAACTTGCAAACTATTGGCTGTAAAATCAACCATTGATTATATAAATCAGCGAACCTACAGTGTTGTAACATTTTAGCATCATCAAAATCTAAATACACTTTCAACTTTGGTAGGTAGATCAGTAAAGCCGGGTTTCCCTACCGGTATGTAGCAGAGCTATATATATATATCAGAGCTAGACATAGCTCAGCTAGAAGTTCAAAAAGCGTCTTCAAAAAACTGCTTAATTGCTATGGGCTATATCACGGCCGCCTTTAACTACAGGCCGCGGCCTGGTAGAATTGGCAACGTCGCAAGTGGTGTTGTTCAGCGACAGACGTCCCATAAGATAACATGGCAGACAGGTGACATCAGCTCATTAATTCGCACTTTATTGATTTAAATTTATGAACATAAATTTATTAAAATATTGAAAATAAAACCCACAGAATTGAAAACTGAAACAATATGAATTAAAATCTATATCTGTAAATTTGTAAGCAGAGTCAATATTGTCATAGTCCAGTAACCAATCTTTCGTAAATACACAAATACCATTAGCTGCTTCCGAACAAAAACAGCTGTTACAACACCAC